ATATGCATTGAAATTAGGCAGAGTGATTCTTGCAAGCTCACAATTTTTATTCTACTTCCTTACTCTTATTATATACATATTAGAATAATCTTGTCTGTATCTTTAAAAAACATTGTTATAATTTGTTAGGCATAGGATTAAAGCAATATATCAATTTGGGAAGAATGGAAATGTTTATTTTACTATGTTGAGTCTAGTGATACATGATCATGGTATGTCTCACCATTTCTTTATATCTTAGATTTTTAAAATCAGTTTGTTGTAGTTTCAGATTACAAGGCCTGCACATATTTTTTTTGATTTCCACCTAAGCATTTCATTTTTTCAGCAATTTCACATTGTGTTGTATTTTTAATTTATTGTCTACATATTCATTGCTACTGTATAGAGATAAAATTGATTTTGCATGTTTACCTTGCAAACTTGCTGGACTTATGCTTAATGCATTATAATTTTGGTAATTGACTAATTATGAAAAGATAGAAGAGTATTAACGATGGAAGTAATAACATCTATCAAAGGATGTACAAAAATATAAATGAACAATTACTTTTTTTTCTTTTGAGCAATTACTTCTTAAGTATGCTTTAAATTTACTGTATATGTATTATTGCTACAGTAAGTAGAATAATAGTACCTATGCATATTTTGTGTTATGTTTGGTACTTGCTTAATGGATTGGTATTTGAAGTTACTCCCTGTGGTCTACTTAGTTTTATACAGTATCATTTCCTATCAATGTAACCTTGTGCGTATTAGGTGTTGTTCAGTTGGCTCTTATTCCTGGCCACTCTAAGAGAGATGCCAACATAAACCCTCAAGAACTTCTGATTTACCCTAACTGGTTTAGCTCAGTGGATAGAGCATCAGCCTGCGGACTGAAGGGTCCCAGGTTCGATTCTGGTCAAGGGCATGTACCTTGGTTGCGGGCACATCCCCAGTAGGGGGTGTGCAGGAGGCCTGATCGATGCTCCCTCATCGATGTCTCTAACTCTCTATCCCTCTCCCTTCCTCTCTGCAAAAAATTAATAAAATATATTTTTTTAAAAAGAACTTCTGATCTGGTAGGAGTGATAAAACCTATTTATCACAAGTGAGGTACCGTGTAGAAGCAATATAGCTACAATTTATGTTAAGCTGGAGTGAGAATGGGGTTACCACCCTACTGTGATCCCTCAGGAGTTTGTCTCACTGCTCACTGGAGACATTTTGGAAGGAAGTTATCAACAGTGTACTATTCTAGCACATATATGTAAGAAAAAGTCTAGAAAAAATTTTAACAATTATATACATAGGGTTTGTATTTGTGGTTACTTAATAGGGCCTGCATTTTACAGGACCTTAAAAAGGAGGCAGGGTCATGATTGCCTCCTATTTTTAGCATAAACAATATATGCACTATTTCTGTGGCAATTAGGCTATGCAAGTAAGGCTAACAACATAAATAGTAATCGTGTGTTATTCCGATAAGTAACTTCTAGTGAATGTAATGGAAGAAGCCTAAAATTTGAATGACCTAACACCACAAAAGTTTGTTTTTATGCACATTAAATTTGGCATGGGCAGGTGAGGTCCATGCTGTCAAGTGGCCCAGGGATGAAGGCTGCTCCAATGCATGTGATTCCACATCTCAGCACAGGCTCTCAATGTTTGTCGCTGAATTGAACAGAAAGGAGGCACACTGACTCTCAAATGCCTTGGTCAGGAAATGATAAACTTTGCTTCCTGTTGACCAACAAGGTAAAAATTAAAATTATACTGCAGCCCTAACCGGTTTTGCTCAGTGGATAGAGCGTTGGGGGCTCTATATTAGGGAAAGAGCAATTTAACTTGAGAAACAAAAATTAGGTTCCTGCAGACATAAACATCTGAGGACTTGCGTGTTTGATTTGATTTCAAGTTCAAGAAGCAAGTTGCACCTGCTCCATAAACTTTAAACAAAGTAGTACATGTAAACTATGGATTCAGTGGCCTGTCCCAGATAGGACACCCCTTTAAAATTCTTCTGCAGGAAACATAGTCAGTAATATTGTAATAACTATGTATGGTGCCAGGTGAGACTGGAAATATCGGGGGAAGAATTTTGTGAAGTATATGATTGTCTAACAATTATGCTATGCACCTGAGCCTAATAGAAAATAATATTGAATGTAAACTGTAATTTTTAAAAAGTTTTAAAAATTAAAATGTTCTCCTGCAATTATTGTTGTTTCAAAAAGTCCTCTTTAGCCTCAGGGTTATAAATCAAGGCCCTGCAGATTTCATACGAAATCAGAGTCTACCTACCAGCTGATCTGGCTAAAAAACTTTTGATTTTGGTGCAGGCAGCCAGAGGGGCTGAGGAGAGGTGTGCAAACGTCCCCATCTGAAGTGAGGAATTGCATGGAAAGGGCCGCTGCTGTCAGAGGGGTCCACAGAGAAGGAGGGACTCTGCAGGGAGTTGGGAGGCTCCAGGTTGGGGAGGCAGGGGGCATGGGCTGTGTGTTCAGGGGAGCAGGGTGCAGCCTGCAGGGAGGATGTGGAGAAGAGCTGGATGGCAGGACAGGTTCCAGTGTGGACAGGAGGCAGGCGCACTGGGGAAGACCCAGGGGAAGGGCGCTGTAATGCAGGAAAGGGCTGGGACTGGGCACTTGTGCTGGGCCCAGGGCAGAGCAGCTCTCCGGGAGCCAAGGGGAGGGGGCAGGAGGTCCCTGGGTAAATGAACCACAGACAATCCCTACATTGTGCTTCATTCTCATTTTCACCCCTTCTTTAGGCTTGCTCTCAGTACTTTAGCCACAGGCCTCTGCTTCCTACCATCTGAGAAACATCATGGAATAGTGAGAAGAGAAATGAATGAATAGACACAAGACTGGGAGGAGTGGAGCAGGGTGGGTTCTTGACCAATTCAGACTAGGGCTTTGTCACTCACTAGCCTTGTGAATCCTGAACCTTTCCAAACCCTCTGAGCCTCGAATTCCTCATCAATGACTTGGGCTTGGTGCCTCCTTTCTTCTGGGACTGTTGGGGTGTGTGTGGTGTGTGTAAAGCACCTGGCACAGCGACTGGTGTGCATTGAGATTGTAAAGAATGGCAATTACTACTATGATTTTCTTGGACCTTAAATAAGACCCACCCTCCTGCTGAGATTTTTTTCTTTGTATTGTTGTTGTGTTAATCCAGGAGATATATGCAGTGCTAAAGAACAGCTAACAACTCTGCCAAAAATTCTGCTTAGCAAGAAAAAATACCTCAGCAAATCATTCCTCTTAGAGGACACAGTATTTAATTTGGATGTTAGGGGATCCCCCTCATCTGCATATAACACAAAGCTCCTAAAATGTGTGTCAAAAACAACTCTCCTTTCCTCCCTCCCAGCTGCCCTTTGCTCAGAATCACCCCATTTTTCATTCATTTAAGCTCTCCCCAAATCAAGGCCTCCCTTAGAGGTTGACAAATTTTACTCAAGATAAACTAGCTAAGATCCTTTTTATGGAGCACACCCTGTTTCTCCCAGCCCAGGGCAAGGGGCGCCAGCACAGTGGCTCCCTGGCATCCTGCCCTGAGGAAGTACTGCCCTGATTTCTCAGAAACTCCCTGGAGATGAGTCTGGGCCTTGTGTTCTGCTCTGGGCCCAAAGCCCAGGGCACCTTCCATCCCTGCCGCGCGGGAAGATTTCTCTCTGCTTCATCCAGGATCCCAGTCGCTGCTAAAAGCAGTTCTCCTCTGGAGGCTTAGCTCCTCAACTCTGAGACCCACCACGCAAGGGTCTGGCCCTGGCTCACCACACTCACACCCTCCTCTGAGGCCCCACCCACCTCCACACAGCATCACCGCCCACTGAAGGGACTGAGGCTTCCCAAGACCCCAGATTGTCTGCTCTTATCACGACCTCCCTCTTCTCCCCTCCTCATACTTTTCACTGGATTATTGTCTTAGAGGTATCTCACCATCTTCCTTTTACCGTAGCTGGTTCTAGCCTCCATCATTCTAGGGGCAGTAGCTCTGTCTTCTTTTTCTTACCATCGCCCCCCTGGCTCCCCCCCACCACCACCATGGAGCTTTCCCAAGAGCAGATGCTCAATCAATGTTTGAGAATTTTTTTTAAAAAAAAGGCAGTAACAATTCATCATGATTTCATTTCTGTTATGTACTTGAATAAACAAAGCAAGTGCAAGTATATAACTTTTATTTTATAGAACAGCAGAACACAAGGAATAAGGGAAACCAAGAATTGATCATCTTTTACTTTTCTCTGGATTTTTTATCACAACTATTTTGCCACTTATTTCTGTTACATTTCTAAGAAAATACATTTTCTAATGCCATGTTGTCTTGTTCCAGATCACTATGTAAGACAGAAGGTTACTCCATTTGTTTAGTAAAAAGCAAAACTCTTACTCTTAAGCCTCATAAACAACATTAAACCCATAACCAATATCATTTGTGCACTTAGATTCTGATGTTAATTAAACTTGTTTTAATGAACAACATTTGAAAACATTCAGAAACAATAAGATAAAGCAGTAATTTAATAACAGGACAGGAGCACAGATAAGATGTGCACTGTGTTCCCCCCAGCACCCCTCACCCCCCCCCCACCACTTCAAGCACAGAGTGAGGGAAGTGCTTCAGATTTCAATACATTTTTTATCACAACTATTTTGCCACTCATTTCTGTCACATTTCTAAGGAAATACATTTCTAATGCCATGTTGTCTTGTTCCAGATCACTATGTAAGACAGAAGGTTACTCCATTTGTTTAGTAAAAAGCAAAACTCTTACTTAAGCCTCATAAACAACGTTAAATCCATAACCAATATCATTTGTGCATTTAGATTCTGACGCTAGTTACACTTGTTTTAAAGAACAGCATTTGAAAACATTCAGCAACAATAGGTAAAGCAATAGTTTAATAACAGAACAGGAGCACAGATATGATGTGCACAGCGTTCCCCCCAGCACCCCTCACCCCCCCCACCACCACTTCAAGCACAGAGTGAGGGAAGTGCTTCATATTTCAATACATGTGGGGGTTGCTGAAATGGGTGCTGGAAAGATCACAGGCCGGGGAGGCAGCACGAATCACAGCCGCGAATCGTTGGCGGGTTCTCTCCAGCTCATCCTGCAGGGCCTCTTCGTACCAGTGTGGGAAGGCGCTGGGCTGGGTATCATGAAGCTTGGCTAAGAACTCCAGCACTTCCATCTTGCTGGTCTCAGCGTAGGCTTGTGGGCCCCACAGGAACTCGTGGCTCGGGGGATCACTGTGGGGCACCTGGCGGTACTCCAGGTACCCTTCTTTCACCAGATCTTCTGTGATGAGCTTCATGGGCTCCCCGTGGAGGTTGTGCTCCTTTCCAGCATGTATGCCCATCGCATTGAGGACATCCCAGATCTCTTCCTCAGTGGCGCAGTTGCCCTTCATGAAGATCACACAGAGGATGGTCATCAGGAGGCCCTTCTTGGGCATGATCTGCCCATGCAGACTGCTATCCCCGCTGTGGTGCAACTTGCTGACCAGGACATAGCTCTGCCCGGCCGGGTCGGCTTCCTTCACATCAATGCCGAAGGCCAGCACCATCAGCTCTGAGGCTCTCTTGAGGATCTCCTGGAAGTAGGACTTGTGCTTCCTGAAGACATGCTTCATCATGTCTTCCCTGGTGATGGGCTGCTTCATGTTATACTTGCGCAGCATGAACTGGGCCAGCAGCATCGCCTTCTGGTCTAGAGGACTCCTGCGGGTGTCATCAGACCGCGACTTTGCCTGGCAGGCACCTGCCCCGGAGGCACCTGCCTGGGAGCCACCTGCCTGGGAGGCACCTCCCCCGGAGGCACCTGCACTTTCCTCGCTTTGGCTCTCGCTTTGGCTCTCGCTTTGGCTCTCGGTGCTGGTGGTAGTGGTATCAAAGCATGGCCACGCGATTCTTGCCTTGCGGGGAGAGCTAATGGCCGCTGTGGCTCCCTGAGGTTCCTGGGACAGCGCAGGCTCAGGGGTGCCCAGGGAAGACACCTCAGAAGAAGAGGAGGAGGAGGACTCATCCCCCTCCTCTGTAGAGGTCTGGGCACTCAGGACTCTCCCAGCCTCCAGCTGGGCCTGTCGGCGTCTCTCTCGGGCCCGGCGCTTACTCTTCTTCCCCCGAGGCATGAGGACACTGGCCAGGGGCAGCGGGCACCCGTGTGGCAGGAGAGGAAGTGATGTGGGCCCCTGGAGGAGGGAGAGTGAGATGGCGTGCGCGCCCTCAGCAGGGACATAGCAACGGGACCTTAACCCAGGCCATGTCTGCAGGGTCTGAGGGCAGTGATCCAGGCACCCACAGGGCTCCTGCTCCGCCCTACGACCCTGCAGAGGAAGTGAGGGTGCACCTTGGGCTGAGAGCAGGGCTGGCGGGGTTAGGCTTTGCGGGTCCCCTGTGTTCTGAGGTGGAGGATCCTCTCCTTCACAGGATCATCCTGTGGACCCACTGTTGGCAGGGCCCGGTCTCCTCCCCTCTCCACTGTGAACTAAACTCCTTACCCCAATGGCCTTACCCCCTGTGAGGCCTGGGGGAAATGAGGGAGAGCCCTATCTCATCACCCTGCTGGGGACGGGCTTCTAGAGCTACATCAGGAGCAGTGTCTTATGGGACCCCTTTGTCCTAAGTAATTATTAGGGTTTTCTGTCCTAACTCCTGTGGCCACCCCTTTAGACCAAGATCACCCACCCCCATGAGACCAAGAACCCCCGTCTCCATTA